ATTAATAAATATAGCTTAGATAGTACAAACTTGATTAATAAATATCCAGTTAGTAATTTGCATGAACCTGAATTAGAAATAGCTAAAATCAATTCCGTAAACAATAACAATATAGCTTGGTCAGACGCTGTACAAACACCAAGCGACATGTTACAAACCTATGCAATGGTCGTGAACAGAAACAAGAATAGAACCAAACTCAGTACAAGTTCTGTTGAAAAAAATATAAACGTTGTAAACACAGTTAAAAATCCATCAAATGAGAACATCAACAAAATGGAACAATCAAAAAAACCTGCAAAGAGGATTATCGGCACCAAAATTATGGAACATGTAAAATTACAACCTGATAAAATAATCATGAAAAAAAAAGTTTTTTGCCTAAGCAATGTAAAGAAATGCCACAGAGATGATGTTGTGGAGTTCTTGCAGACAAGTGGTATAAACGTGATTACATGTTTCCCAGTTATAAAGCGAACTGACGAAACTGACCCCAAAGCAATTAACAACGACGAACATTCAACCATGTTCAGAGTTTGCGTTGAAAAGAAAGATGAAGGTAAAATGAAAGACCCGGAAGTAATGCTGCAGCATATCATCGTGAGAGAATGGAAATTCAATGAAAAAAAGTTAGATTTTAAAAATGGCTAATTTAATTGTAGATGATGATTTTTTTGTTAATAAGTGCAAAACATTTTACAACTCTGCTGAAATAAATAATGATTATGAATTATTTAATGATAATTATTCGACAACAAATACAACATTTAATTTAATGCATATAAATATAAGAAGCTTAGTAAATAAATCAACAGAATTAAAGGATTATTTAACAAGTTTTGATTTCAAATTTGATGTCATAGCCATTACCGAAACGTGGCTAAACACAGTGAATGAAGATTCGATTGGGATTAATGGGTTCAATTTTGTTGGCAAAAATCGTTCCGGTAGACACGGGGGTGGAGTCGGCCTCTTTGTAAAAGATGATATTATATTTAAAATAAGAAATGATTTGATGATTTCAAATGAACTAGAGTTATTTGCAATTGAAGTGGGAATCTCGTCTAAAAACAACTCATTAATTATTGTTACGTATCGACCACCACATTACAGCAAAAAAGTTTATATGAAGCAACTTGAACAAGTTTTGTTAGCCATAAATAATGAGAAAAAACTAGTTTATTTAACCGGAGACCTGAATATAGATCTTTTGGAAAATTACGAATCTTACAGTAGTCAACTCCAAAATTTACTGACATCTT